TTTGGCAGTTCGAGAAGAGATTTGTAACTAGACTCTTCTCTAGGCGCTAGTTTCAGTTCTGCTTTCCCTTTTTTTGTGCAGCAACTCTCCGAAAAAATCATGAAAATTTGACTCCCAAATTTGTCAATTTTCGCATGTTTAAGCCTTTAAGTGGCATAAAATAAGCGAAAAGCCGTTTCGAAACACTTGAAATTGGGAGTTTTGTATCAAGTATTGACTACGATGTATTTACTACTACAGGTTTTGGCTGTATGCTCAGTCACGTACTTCATTCTGATGGGTGTACTACAATTGTATCAGTGGTACGTGGAGAAGAAGACTTTCTATCAAGCTGAGGAGTCTGACGGCAAGCACAAACGAATCTGGAAGTGGAGCTCTGAGCTGAAAACGTAAGTTTTTCATCTCTTCCATATGGATAATTCGTCTTGTAACCTGTTCATTCCAATTTTTTGTTATCTGGAACGTTTTAGTTCATCTCTTTTACAAGACAATCGCCTATACACTTTTCAGTTACGATGATAAGTATACACTCTCTGCCGAATTTTCCAAGGAAACCAGATCAGGCCAGGGAAAAATCACAAAGTCGATTGGTGCTTACATCAACGAAGCAGGGGAGGTCTGCATTTTTTTGGCATGATTTCCATCTTCGTTTTATATACAAGTTCGAAGCATATTATCAGTTTGGAAATTTTGGAAAGAGTTAAAGCGCTTTCTTACGTTTTCCTGTTCCATAGAAAATACAGCGAAGCTTGAAGATGTACATTTATCATTTAAGGTCGTTGTACCCTTGCTGAAGAAAGATGTCGATCAACTTTACGACAACCTCATGAAAGGAGAGCAATAGGAGACGTTCTTATACCCGATTTTTTTATTATTATTTATGGTCTTCGATGTGTGATTTGTATAGGCGGCCTCATTTTCAGAGTTTGGTGTTGTTCCACCACAGTCCAGATTTTTATGCTTACAATTAAATGTGAAAAGGTTTTGACCTCCTGTTGAAGCATGCATTTAGCCAATGATAGCACCGCGTGACTCAGAATTTGAGGACGGCCACATAAAATATGCATTAATATTTGTGCATGGTTCTATTACTGGAAAATCATTTTTTTGTTGGGATTTCGCATACAGTCATATCATATAGCTTCTTTTTTGTTTTTCGCTGTTCTGCGGCATTGTTGATAAAGTTGGGCTCAAAATGTACTATTTTGATCGAATATGGATTGATACATCTTAGATACTTCGCTATTGCTCAGAAACTACTGAAAATGGAAGGTCCATTTGAAAGCGCTGGCCATTATGATAGTGACGAGTGTACAGTGATATCGCTAGAGGAACCAGTGTACGAGAGAAAAGCTGTATATTATTCTTATTTTTAGAATGGCAAACAAAAGTGGAAAACATTTCTACCCTATACATTATCTCTTCTTTTAATCATAATGTTCTTTTACAGATTAGAAGTGGGTATTTTTTCTACGCATATTGTAAACATCATACATGCGACCTTCAATGGCCGTATTCATGAACTTTACCCAGTGGGTAAGCCTACCGAGGCGGCGAGAGGCGCGATTTTTATTGCCAGCTGGGCAGCAAACAGCA